CGCCAGGAAGTATAAAGTCTTAGACTGTCCCGTGATCGATTCAATTCGATTTCGAAGTCCATGTACTATTGAAATTCGAATAAGCCCAGGTGTGTGTTACTACTCATGCCTGAGAGAACTCAGGGCTGTCAGAACACTTCTCAAGGGTTTTCCCAATCATTATGAGACTGTCTCAAAAGGAACTAACCCTCTACGTTCAGCCGTGTCGATTCAATTCGATTTCAAAATCCATGTACTATTGAAATTCGAATAAGCCTAGGTGTGTGTTACTACTCGTGCCTGAGAGAACTCAGGGCTGTCAGAACACTTCAGGCACCTACTTTGGGACAATCTGAGACTGTCTCAAAAGGAACTAACCCTCTACGTTCAGCCGTGTCGATTCAATTGGATTTCGAAATCCATGTACTATTGAAATTCGAATAAGCCCAGGTGCGTGTTACTACTCGTTCCTGAGAGAACTCAGGGCTGTCAGAACACTTCAGGCACCTACTGTGGCCCAATCTGAGACTGTCTCAAAAGGAACTAACCCTGTACATTCAGCCGTGTCGATTCAATTTGATTTCAAATCCATGTACTATTGAAATTCGTATAAGCCCAGGTGTGTGTTACTACTCTTCCCTGAGAGACTCAGGGCTGTCAGAACACTTCAGGCACCTACTGTGGCCCAATCTGAGACTGTCTCAAAAGGAACTAACCCTGTACATTCAGCCGTGTCGATTCAATTTGATTTCAAATCCATGTACTATTGAAATTCGTATAAGCCCAGGTGTGTGTTACTACTCTTCCCTGAGAGAACTCAGGGCTGTCAGAACACTTCTCAAGGGTTTTCGCAATCATTATGAGACTGTCTCAAAAGGAACTAACCCTGTACGTTCAGCCGTGTCGATTCAATTTGATTTAAAATCCATGTACTATTGAAATTCGGATAAGCCCAGGTGCGTGTTACTACTCTTCCCTGAGAGAACTCAGGGCTGTCAGAACACTTCTCAGGGGTTTTCGCAATCAATCTGAGACTGTCTCAAAAGGAACTAACCCTGTACGTTCAGCCGTGTCGATTCAATTTGATTTAAAATCCCTGTACCATTGAAATTCGGATAAGCCCACGTGCGTGTTACTACTCTTCCCTGAGAGAACTCATGGGTGTCAGAACACTTCTGGCACCTACTTTGGCCCAATCTGAGACTGTCTCACAAGGAATTAACCCTGTACGTTCATCCGTGTCGATACAATTCGATTTCGAAATCCATGTACTATTGAAAGTCGAATAAGCCTAGGTGCGTGTTACTACTCGTGCCTGAGAGAACTCAGGGCTGTCGGAACACTTCAGGCACCTACTTTGGCCCAATCTGAGACTGTCTCAAAAGGAATCAACCCTGTACGTTCAGCCATGTCGATTCAATTCGATTTCGAAATCCATGTACTATTGAAATTCGAATAAGCCCAGGTGTGTGTTACTACTCTTCCCTGAGAGAACTCAGGGCTGTCAGAACACTTCTCAAGGGTTTTCGCAATCAATCTGAGACTGTCTCAAAAGGAACTAACCCTGTACGTTCAGCCGTGTCGATTCAATTTGATTTAAAATCCATGTACTATTGAAATTCGGATAAGCCCAGGTGCGTGTTACTACTCTTCCCTGAGAGAACTCAGGGCTGTCAGAACACTTCTCAAGGGTTTTCGCAATCAATCTGAGACTGTCTCAAAAGGAACTAACCCTGTACGTTCAGCCGTGTCGATTCAATTTGATTTAAAATCCATGTACTATTGAAATTCGGATAAGCCCAGGTGCGTGTTACTACTCTTCCCTGAGAGAACTCAGGGCTGTCAGAACACTTCAGGCACTTACTGTGGCCCAATCTGAGACTGTCTCAAAAGGAACTAACCCTGTACATTCAGCCGTGTCGATTCAATTTGATTTCAAATCCATGTACTATTGAAATTCGTATAAGCCCAGGTGTGTGTTACTACTCTTCCCTGAGAGAACTCAGGGCTGTCAGAACACTTCTCAAGGGTTTTCGCAATCATTATGAGACTGTCTCAAAAGGAACTAACCCTGTACGTTCAGCCGTGTCGATTCAATTTGATTTAAAATCCATGTACTATTGAAATTCGGATAAGCCCAGGTGCGTGTTACTACTCTTCCCTGAGAGAACTCAGGGCTGTCAGAACACTTCTCAAGGGTTTTCGCAATCAATCTGAGACTGTCTCAAAAGGAACTAACCCTGTACGTTCAGCCGTGTCGATTCAATTTGATTTAAAATCCATGTACTATTGAAATTCGGATAAGCCCAGGTGCGTGTTACTACTCTTCCCTGAGAGAACTCAGGGCTGTCAGAACACTTCAGGCACCTACTTTGGCCCAATCTGAGACTGTCTCAAAAGGAATTAACCCTGTACGTTCATCCGTGTCGATTCAATTCGATTTCGAAATCCATGTACTATTGAAAGTCGAATAAGCCTAGGTGCGTGTTACTACTCGTGCCTGAGAGAACTCAGGGCTGTCGGAACACTTCACGCACCTACTTTGGCCCAATCTGAGACTGTCTCAAAAGAATCAACCCTGTACGTTCAGCCATGTCGATTCATTCGATTTCGAAATCCATGTACTATTGAAATTTGAATAAGCCCAGGTGTGTGTTACTACTCTTCCCTGAGAGAACTCAGGGCTGTCAGAACACTTCTCAAGGGTTTTCGCAATCAATCTGAGACTGTCTCAAAAGGAATTAACCCTGTACGTTCAGCCGTGTCGATTCAATTCGATTTCAAAATCCATGTACTATTGAAATTCGAATAAGCCTAGGTGTGTGTTACTACTCGTGCCTGAGAGAACTCAGGGCTGTCAGAACACTTCAGGCACCTACTTTGGGACAATCTGAGACTGTCTCAAAAGGAACTAACCCTCTACGTTCAGCCGTGTCGATTCAATTGGATTTCGAAATCCATGTACTATTGAAATTCGAATAAGCCCAGGTGCGTGTTACTACTCGTTCCTGAGAGAACTCAGGGCTGTCAGAACACTTCAGGCACCTACTTTGGCCCAATCTGAGACTGTCTGAAAAGGAACTAACCCTGTACGTTCAGCCGTGTCGATTCAATTCGATTTCGAAATCCATGTACTATTGAAATTCGAATAAGCCTAGGTGTGTGTTACTACTCGTGCCTGAGAGAACTCAGGGCTGTCAAAACACTTCAGGCACCTACTTTGGCCGAATCTGAGACTATCTCAAAAGGAATCAACCCTGTACGTTCAGCCGTGTCGATTCAATTCGATTTCGAAATGCATGTACTATTGAAATTCGAATAAGCCCAGGTGTGTGTTACTACTCGTGCTGAGAGAACTCAGGACTGTCAGAACACTTCAGGCACCTACTTCGGGCCAATCTGAGACTGTCTCAAAAGGAATTAACCCTGTACGTTCCGCCGTGTCGATTCAATTCGATTTCGAAGTCCATGTACTATTGAAATTCGAATAAGCCCAGGTGTGTGTTACTACTCGTGCCTGAGAGAACTCAGGGCTGTCAGAACACTTCAGGCACCTACTTTGGGACAATCTGAGACTGTCTCAAAAGGAACTAACCCTCTACGTTCAGCCGTGTCGATTCAATTCGATTTCAAAATCCATGTACTATTGAAATTCGAATAAGCCTAGGTGTGTGTTACTACTCGTGCCTGAGAGAACTCAGGGCTGTCAGAACACTTCAGGCACCTACTTTGGGACAATCTGAGACTGTCTCAAAAGGAACTAACCCTCTACGTTCAGCCGTGTCGATTCAATTGGATTTCGAAATCCATGTACTATTGAAATTCGAATAAGCCCAGGTGCGTGTTACTACTCGTTCCTGAGAGAACTCAGGGCTGTCAGAACACTTCAGGCACCTACTGTGGCCCAATCTGAGACTGTCTCAAAAGGAACTAACCCTGTACATTCAGCCGTGTCGATTCAATTTGATTTCAAATCCATGTACTATTGAAATTCGTATAAGCCCAGGTGTGTGTTACTACTCTTCCCTGAGAGAACTCAGGGCTGTCAGAACACTTCAGGCACCTACTGTGGCCCAATCTGAGACTGTCTCAAAAGGAACTAACCCTGTACATTCAGCCGTGTCGATTCAATTTGATTTCAAATCCATGTACTATTGAAATTCGTATAAGCCCAGGTGTGTGTTACTACTCTTCCCTGAGAGAACTCAGGGCTGTCAGAACACTTCTCAAGGGTTTTCGCAATCATTATGAGACTGTCTCAAAAGGAACTAACCCTGTACGTTCAGCCGTGTCGATTCAATTTGATTTAAAATCCATGTACTATTGAAATTCGGATAAGCCCAGGTGCGTGTTACTACTCTTCCCTGAGAGAACTCAGGGCTGTCAGAACACTTCTCAAGGGTTTTCGCAATCAATCTGAGACTGTCTCAAAAGGAACTAACCCTGTACGTTCAGCCGTGTCGATTCAATTTGATTTAAAATCCATGTACTATTGAAATTCGGATAAGCCCAGGTGCGTGTTACTACTCTTCCCTGAGAGAACTCAGGGCTGTCAGAACACTTCAGGCACCTACTTTGGCCCAATCTGAGACTGTCTCAAAAGGAATTAACCCTGTACGTTCATCCGTGTCGATTCAATTCGATTTCGAAATCCATGTACTATTGAAAGTCGAATAAGCCTAGGTGCGTGTTACTACTCGTGCCTGAGAGAACTCAGGGCTGTCGGAACACTTCAGGCACCTACTTTGGCCCAATCTGAGACTGTCTCAAAAGGAATCAACCCTGTACGTTCAGCCATGTCGATTCAATTCGATTTCGAAATCCATGTACTATTGAAATTCGAATAAGCCCAGGTGTGTGTTACTACTCTTCCCTGAGAGAACTCAGGGCTGTCAGAACACTTCTCAAGGGTTTTCGCAATCAATCTGAGACTGTCTCAAAAGGAACTAACCCTGTACGTTCAGCCGTGTCGATTCAATTTGATTTAAAATCCATGTACTATTGAAATTCGGATAAGCCCAGGTGCGTGTTACTACTCTTCCCTGAGAGAACTCAGGGCTGTCAGAACACTTCTCAAGGGTTTTCGCAATCAATCTGAGACTGTCTCAAAAGGAACTAACCCTGTACGTTCAGCCGTGTCGATTCAATTTGATTTAAAATCCATGTACTATTGAAATTCGGATAAGCCCAGGTGCGTGTTACTACTCTTCCCTGAGAGAACTCAGGGCTGTCAGAACACTTCAGGCACCTACTGTGGCCCAATCTGAGACTGTCTCAAAAGGAACTAACCCTGTACATTCAGCCGTGTCGATTCAATTTGATTTCAAATCCATGTACTATTGAAATTCGTATAAGCCCAGGTGTGTGTTACTACTCTTCCCTGAGAGAACTCAGGGCTGTCAGAACACTTCTCAAGGGTTTTCGCAATCATTATGAGACTGTCTCAAAAGGAACTAACCCTGTACGTTCAGCCGTGTCGATTCAATTTGATTTAAAATCCATGTACTATTGAAATTCGGATAAGCCCAGGTGCGTGTTACTACTCTTCCCTGAGAGAACTCAGGGCTGTCAGAACACTTCAGGCACCTACTGTGGCCCAATCTGAGACTGTCTCAAAAGGAACTAACCCTGTACATTCAGCCGTGTCGATTCAATTTGATTTCAAATCCATGTACTATTGAAATTCGTATAAGCCCAGGTGTGTGTTACTACTCTTCCCTGAGAGAACTCAGGGCTGTCAGAACACTTCTCAAGGGTTTTCGCAATCATTATGAGACTGTCTCAAAAGGAACTAACCCTGTACGTTCAGCCGTGTCGATTCAATTCGATTTCGAAATCCATGTACTATTGAAATTCGAATAAGCCCAGGTGTGTGTTACTACTCTTCCCTGAGAGAACTCAGGGCTGTCAGAACACTTCTCAAGGGTTTTCGCAATCAATCTGAGACTGTCTCAAAAGGAATTAACCCTGTACGTTCAGCCGTGTCGATTCAATTCGATTTCGAAATCCATGTACTATTGAAATTCGAATAAGCCTAGGTGTGTGTTACTACTCGTGCCTGAGAGAACTCAGGGCTGTCAAAACACTTCAGGCACCTACTTTGGCCGAATCTGAGACTATCTCAAAAGGAATCAACCCTGTACGTTCAGCCGTGTCAATTCAATTCGATTTCGAAATCCATGTACTATTGAAATTCGAATAAGCCTAGGTGTGTGAATCCATGTACTATTGAAATTCGAATAAGCCCAGGTGCGTGTTACTACTCGTTCCTGAGAGAACTCAGGGCTGTCAGAACACTTCAGGCACCTACTGTGGCCCAATCTGAGACTGTCTCAAAAGGAACTAACCCTGTACGTTCGGCGTGTAGATTCATTTGATTTAAATCCATGTACTATTGAAATTCGGATAAGCCCAGGTGCGTGTTACTACTCTTCCCTGAGAGAACTCAGGGCTGTCAGAACACTTCTCAAGGGTTTTCGCAATCAATCTGAGACTGTCTCAAAAGGAACTAACCCTGTACGTTCAGCCGTGTCGATTCAATTTGATTTAAAATCCATGTACTATTGAAATTCGGATAAGCCCAGGTGCGTGTTACTACTCTTCCCTGAGAGAACTCAGGGCTGTCAGAACACTTCTCAAGGGTTTTCGCAATCAATCTGAGACTGTCTCAAAAGGAACTAACCCTGTACGTTCAGCCGTGTCGATTCAATTTGATTTAAAATCCATGTACTATTGAAATTCGGATAAGCCCAGGTGCGTGTTACTACTCTTCCCTGAGAGAACTCAGGGCTGTCAGAACACTTCAGGCACCTACTTTGGCCCAATCTGAGACTGTCTCAAAAGGAATTAACCCTGTACGTTCATCCGTGTCGATTCAATTCGATTTCGAAATCCATGTACTATTGAAAGTCGAATAAGCCTAGGTGCGTGTTACTACTCGTGCCTGAGAGAACTCAGGGCTGTCGGAACACTTCAGGCACCTACTTTGGCCCAATCTGAGACTGTCTCAAAAGGAATCAACCCTGTACGTTCAGCCATGTCGATTCAATTCGATTTCGAAATCCATGTACTATTGAAATTCGAATAAGCCCAGGTGTGTGTTACTACTCGTTCCTGAGAGAACTCAGGGCTGTCAGAACACTTCAGGCACCTACTTTGGGACAATCTGAGACTGTCTCAAAAGGAACTAACCCTCTACGTTCAGCCGTGTCGATTCAATTCGATTTCAAAATCCATGTACTATTGAAATTCGAATAAGCCTAGGTGTGTGTTACTACTCGTGCCTGAGAGAACTCAGGGCTGTCAGAACACTTCTCAAGGGTTTTCGCAATCATTATGAGACTGTCTCAAAAGGAACTAACCCTGTACGTTCAGCCGTGTCGATTCAATTTGATTTAAAATCCATGTACTATTGAAATTCGGATAAGCCCAGGTGCGTGTTACTACTCTTCCCTGAGAGAACTCAGGGCTGTCAGAACACTTCAGGCACCTACTTTGGGACAATCTGAGACTGTCTCAAAAGGAACTAACCCTCTACGTTCAGCCGTGTCGATTCAATTGGATTTCGAAATCCATGTACTATTGAAATTCGAATAAGCCCAGGTGCGTGTTACTACTCGTTCCTGAGAGAACTCAGGGCTGTCAGAACACTTCAGGCACCTACTGTGGCCCAATCTGAGACTGTCTCAAAAGGAACTAACCCTGTACATTCAGCCGTGTCGATTCAATTTGATTTCAAATCCATGTACTATTGAAATTCGTATAAGCCCAGGTGTGTGTTACTACTCTTCCCTGAGAGAACTCAGGGCTGTCAGAACACTTCTCAAGGGTTTTCGCAATCATTATGAGACTGTCTCAAAAGGAACTAACCCTCTACGTTCAGCCGTGTCGATTCAATTCGATTTCGAAATCCATGTACTATTGAAATTCGAATAAGCCCAGGTGCGTGTTACTAATCGTGCCTGAGAGAACTCAGTGCTGTCAGAACACTTCAGGCACCTACTTTGGCCCAATCTGAGACTGTCTCAAAAGGAATCAACCCTGTACGTTCAGCCATGTCGATTCAATTCGATTTCGAAATCCATGTACTATTGAAATTCGAATAAGCCCAGGTGTGTGTTACTACTCATGCCTGAGAGAACTCAGGGCTGTCAGAACACTTCTCAAGGGTTTTCCCAATCATTATGAGACTGTCTCAAAAGGAACTAACCCTCTACGTTCAGCCGTGTCGATGGAATTCGATTTCGAAATCCATGTACTATTGAAATTCGAATAAGCCTAGGTGTGTGTTACTACTCGTGCCTGAGAGAACTCAGGGCTGTCAGAACACTTCAGGCACCTACTTTGGGACAATCTGAGACTGTCTCAAAAGGAACTAACCCTCTACGTTCAGCCGTGTCGATTCAATTGGATTTCGAAATCCATGTACTATTGAAATTCGAATAAGCCCAGGTGCGTGTTACTACTCGTTCCTGAGAGAACTCAGGGCTGTCAGAACACTTCGGCACCTACTGTGGCCCAATCTGAGACTGTCTCAAAAGGAACTAACCCTGTACATTCAGCCGTGTCGATTCAATTTGATTTCAAATCCATGTACTATTGAAATTCGTATAAGCCCAGGTGTGTGTTACTACTCTTCCTGAAAGAACTCATGGGCTGTCAGAACACTTCTCAAGGGTTTTCGCAATCATTATGAGACTGTCTCAAAAGGAACTAACCCTCTACGTTCAGCCGTGTCGATTCAATTCGATTTCGAAATCCATGTACTATTGAAATTCGAATAAGCCTAGGTGTGTGTTACTACTCGTGCCTGAGAGAACTCAGGGCTGTCAAAACACTTCAGGCACCTACTTTGGCCGAATCTGAGACTATCTCAAAAGGAATCAACCCTGTACGTTCAGCCGTGTCAATTCAATTCGATTTCGAAATCCATGTACTATTGAAATTCGAATAAGCCTAGGTGCGTGTTACTACTCGTGCCTGAGAGAACTCAGGGCTGTCGGAACACTTCAGGCACCTACTTTGGCCCAATCTGAGACTGTCTCAAAAGGAATCAACCCTGTACGTTCAGCCATGTCGATTCAATTCGATTTCGAAATCCATGTACTATTGAAATTCGAATAAGCCCAGGTGTGTGTTACTACTCGTTCCTGAGAGAACTCAGGGCTGTCAGAACACTTCAGGCACCTACTTTGGGACAATCTGAGACTGTCTCAAAAGGAACTAACCCTCTACGTTCAGCCGTGTCGATTCAATTCGATTTCAAAATCCATGTACTATTGAAATTCGAATAAGCCTAGGTGTGTGTTACTACTCGTGCCTGAGAGAACTCAGGGCTGTCAGAACACTTCAGGCACCTACTTTGGGACAATCTGAGACTGTCTCAAAAGGAACTAACCCTCTACGTTCAGCCGTGTCGATTCAATTGGATTTCGAAATCCATGTACTATTGAAATTCGAATAAGCCCAGGTGCGTGTTACTACTCGTTCCTGAGAGAACTCAGGGCTGTCAGAACACTTCAGGCACCTACTGTGGCCCAATCTGAGACTGTCTCAAAAGGAACTAACCCTGTACATTCAGCCGTGTCGATTCAATTTGATTTCAAATCCATGTACTATTGAAATTCGTATAAGCCCAGGTGTGTGTTACTACTCTTCCCTGAGAGAACTCAGGGCTGTCAGAACACTTCTCAAGGGTTTTCGCAATCATTATGAGACTGTCTCAAAAGGAACTAACCCTCTACGTTCAGCCGTGTCGATTCAATTCGATTTCGAAATCCATGTACTATTGAAATTCGAATAAGCCCAGGTGCGTGTTACTACTCGTGCCTGAGAGAACTCAGGGCTGTCGGAACACTTCAGACACCTACTTTGGCCCAATCTGAGACTGTCTGAAAAGGAACTAACCCTGTACGTTCAGCCGTGTCGATTCAATTCGATTTCGAAATCCATGTACTATTGAAATTCGAATAAGCCTAGGTGTGTGTTACTACTCGTGCCTGAGAGAACTCAGGGCTGTCAAAACACTTCAGGCACCTACTTTGGCCGAATCTGAGACTATCTCAAAAGGAATCAACCCTGTACGTTCAGCCGTGTCAATTCAATTCGATTTCGAAATCCATGTACTATTGAAATTCGAATAAGCCCAGGTGTGTGTTACTACTCCTTCCCTGAGAGAACTCAGGGCTGTCAGAACACTTCTCAAGGGTTTTCGCAATCAATCTGAGACTGTCTCAAAAGGAATTAACCCTGTACGTTCAGCCGTGTCGATTCAATTCGATTTCAAAATCCATGTACTATTGAAATTCGGATAAGCCCAGGTGCGTGTTACTACTCTTCCCTGAGAGAACTCAGGGCTGTCAGAACACTTCAGGCACCTACTTTGGCCCAATCTGAGACTGTCTCAAAAGGAATCAACCCTGTACGTTCAGCCATGTCGATTCAATTCGATTTCGAAATCCATGTACTATTGAAATTCGAATAAGCCCAGGTGTGTGTTACTACTCTTCCCTGAGAGAACTCAGGGCTGTCAGAACACTTCTCAAGGGTTTTCGCAATCATTATGAGACTGTCTCAAAAGGAACTAACCCTCTACGTTCAGCCGTGTCGATTCAATTCGATTTCGAAATCCATGTACTATTGAAATTCGAATAAGCCTAGGTGTGTGTTACTACTCGTGCCTGAGAGAACTCAGGGCTGTCAAAACACTTCAGGCACCTACTTTGGCCGAATCTGAGACTATCTCAAAAGGAATCAACCCTGTACGTTCAGCCGTGTCAATTCAATTCGATTTCGAAATCCATGTACTATTGAAATTCGAATAAGCCTAGGTGTGTGTTACTACTCGTGCCTGAGAGAACTCAGGACTGTCAGAACACTTCAGGCACCTACTTCGGGCCAATCTGAGACTGTCTCAAAAGGAATTAACCCTGTACGTTCCGCCGTGTCGATTCAATTCGATTTCGAAGTCCATGTACTATTGAAATTCGAATAAGCCCAGGTGTGTGTTACTACTCGTGCCTGAGAGAACTCAGGGCTGTCAGAACACTTCAGGCACCTACTTTGGGACAATCTGAGACTGTCTCAAAAGGAACTAACCCTCTACGTTCAGCCGTGTCGATTCAATTCGATTTCAAAATCCATGTACTATTGAAATTCGAATAAGCCTAGGTGTGTGTTACTACTCGTGCCTGAGAGAACTCAGGGCTGTCAGAACACTTCAGGCACCTACTTTGGGACAATCTGAGACTGTCTCAAAAGGAACTAACCCTCTACGTTCAGCCGTGTCGATTCAATTGGATTTCGAAATCCATGTACTATTGAAATTCGAATAAGCCCAGGTGCGTGTTACTACTCGTTCCTGAGAGAACTCAGGGCTGTCAGAACACTTCAGGCACCTACTGTGGCCCAATCTGAGACTGTCTCAAAAGGAACTAACCCTGTACATTCAGCCGTGTCGATTCAATTTGATTTCAAATCCATGTACTATTGAAATTCGTATAAGCCCAGGTGTGTGTTACTACTCTTCCCTGAGAGAACTCAGGGCTGTCAGAACACTTCAGCACCTACTGTGGCTCAATCTGAGACTGTCTCAAAAGGAACTAACCCTGTACGTTCAGCCGTGTCGATTCAATTTGATTTCAAATCCATGTACTATTGAAATTCGGATAAGCCCAGGTGCGTGTTACTACTCTTCCCTGAGAGAACTCAGGGCTGTCAGAACACTTCAGGCACCTACTTTGGCCCAATCTGAGACTGTCTCAAAAGGAATTAACCCTGTACGTTCATCCGTGTCGATTCAATTCGATTTCGAAATCCATGTACTATTGAAAGTCGAATAAGCCTAGGTGCGTGTTACTACTCGTGCCTGAGAGAACTCAGGGCTGTCGGAACACTTCAGGCACCTACTTTGGCCCAATCTGAGACTGTCTCAAAAGGAATCAACCCTGTACGTTCAGCCATGTCGATTCAATTCGATTTCGAAATCCATGTACTATTGAAATTCGAATAAGCCCAGGTGTGTGTTACTACTCTTCCCTGAGAGAACTCAGGGCTGTCAGAACACTTCTCAAGGGTTTTCGCAATCAATCTGAGACTGTCTTCAAAAAGGAACCTAAACCCCTTGTACGTTCAGCCGTGTCGAATTCAATTTGATTTGAAAATCCATGTACTATTGAAATTCGGATAAGCCCCAGGTGCGTGTTACTACTCGTTCCCGAGAGAACTCAGGGCTGTCAGACCACTTCAGCCACCTATGTGGCCCCAATCTGAGATGTCTCAAAAGGAACTAACCCTGTACATTCAGCCGTGTCGATTCAATGTGATTTCAAATCCATGTACTATTGAAATTCGTATAAGCCCAGGTGTGTGTTACTACTCTTCCATGAGAGAACTCAGGGCTGTCAGAACACTTCTCAAGGGTTTTCGCAATCATTATGAGACTGTCTCAAAAGGAACTAACCCTGTACGTTCAGCCGTGTCGATTCAATTTGATTTAAAATCCATGTACTATTGAAATTCGGATAAGCCCAGGTGCGTGTTACTACTCTTCCCTGAGAGAACTCAGGGCTGTCAGAACACTTCTCAAGGGTTTTCGCAATCAATCTGAGACTGTCTCAAAAGGAACTAACCCTGTACGTTCAGCCGTGTCGATTCAATTTGATTTAAAATCCATGTACTATTGAAATTCGGATAAGCCCAGGTGCGTGTTACTACTCTTCCCTGAGAGAACTCAGGGCTGTCAGAACACTTCTCAAGGGTTTTCGCAATCAATCTGAGACTGTCTCAAAAGGAACTAACCCTGTACGTTCAGCCGTGTCGATTCAATTTGATTTAAAATCCATGTACTATTGAAATTCGGATAAGCCCAGGTGCGTGTTACTACTCTTCCCTGAGAGAACTCAGGGCTGTCAGAACACTTCAGGCACCTACTTTGGCCCAATCTGAGACTGTCTCAAAAGGAATTAACCCTGTACGTTCATCCGTGTCGATTCAATTCGATTTCGAAATCCATGTACTATTGAAAGTCGAATAAGCCTAGGTGCGTGTTACTACTCGTGCCTGAGAGAACTCAGGGCTGTCGGAACACTTCAGGCACCTACTTTGGCCCAATCTGAGACTGTCTCAAAAGGAATCAACCCTGTACGTTCAGCCATGTCGATTCAATTCGATTTCGAAATCCATGTACTATTGAAATTGGAATAAGCCCAGGTGTGTGTTACTACTCTTCCCTG